AGGGGTAGGCTTAATTGTTGCTATTGTAATGCTAGAAGTATAAGAAATAAAATAGATAACTTTAGGGAACTGGTAGGAATGGAAGATTTTGATATAATGCGAATAACTGAAACATGGTTAAATGTAGATGATTTTGAAGACAGAAATTTCTTTGAAATACAGGATTACAGGCTATTTAATAGGGATAGAGTATTAAAGAGGGGGGAGGAGTGGCTTTATACATAAAACGTGAGCTACATCCTGTTGAAGTTGAGGATATCAAAGATAATAGCAAAGAGATTGAATCCACGGGTTTCTATTAGTGGATATAAAGGGAAAAGGCTTTTAGTGGGAATTTGTTACAGACCACCAAGTGATGCTGATTAAATTAGTGAGAAACTTTAAATGAGATTAAGATTTCAGCTGTTAATAAAGTCATAATTATGGGTGATTTGAATTTCAGGCATATAGTTTGGGAAATGCTAGAGTCAAACCATGAGGGAGAAAGGTTTTTGAAATTGTTTATGATGGTTTTTCTTCACCAGTTGGTCAAGGAACATACTAGAAACAATACAAGTTTAGATTTAGTGTTAACTTCAAATATAGCAATTATTGTGTGTGGAAATTGGATAGTCAACATGGTTTCACAAAGGGAAAATCTTGCCTTACAAATCTTTTGACATTCTTTAAAAAGGTCACTGCTTATGTAGATGAGGGTAAGGGTGTAGATTTGGTGCATCTGGATTTTGAGAAAGCATTCAACAAGGTGCAACATAAAAGGCTTGTAAAAACGTTATCTCGATAGGTGTGGGGGATAAGTTAGCAAATTGAATAAAAGAGTGGCTGGATGGAAGAAAGTAGAGGGTTGTTACAAATGGAGTTCAGTCAAACTGGATTAATGTAACAAGTGGGGTACCTCAGGCTCAGTCTTAGAATCTTTGCTCTTTTTGATTTATATCAGTGACATAGATGAAGGAATGGTCAATAAATTACTTAAATTTGCAGATGATATTAAAGTTTTGGGTGTTGCGAGCTGTGAAAAGGATTTTGTTGATTTACTAAAGGATTTAGTTCATTTAGTGAGTTGGGCAAATAAATGTCAGATGAGTTTTAATTATAATAAATGCAAGATAATGCATATGGGTTATCATACTTTGAATTCTAAGTAGAATTTAGATAGGAATACCTTAACAGTATCATGAAAGAAATGGATCTTGGTGTAATAGTTGATCAGTCTCTTAAGCCATCCAAGCAGCATGCTGTTGCTTGTGGTAGAGCAAATAGGATTTTAGGTTGTATCTACAGAAATATTGATTACAAGTCTAAAGAGGTTATAATTTCATTGTACACGTCACTGGTTAGGCCACATTTGAATATTGTGTTCAGTCTTGGGCTCCTTACCTTAGGAAAGACATTGAATTGTTGGAAAGGGTTCAGAGTAGGGTTACTAGAATTGTGCCAGGGATGGAGAGGATGTCATACGAGGAGAGATTGAGATCTCTATATTTGTCTTCTCTTCAAAAAAGAAGAGTTAGAAGAGATCTGATTGAAATGTTTAAAATTGTAAAGTGGATTGATAGTGTTGATGCTTCATCTTTTTTTATACTTAACAGTGAGAATAGTAGGACCAGGAGACACAAATATAAATTTTGGCAGGGTAGGAATCATCTTCTGCTAAGACAGTTTCATTTTTCTAATGGTGGTTGGCTTTTGGAATGACTTGCCTTCGTATGTTGTGGAGGCAGTAAATTTAAGTGAATTTAAGAGAAAGCTTGATAAGTATATGAATGATAAGAGCTGGCTTTAAGATTTTTAAAAATTTGTTTATTAATAGTTTTAGTTTAGTTTAGAGGATGAGACAGTAGAGATTGACCAATAGGTCCCATGTTGTCCCAAAATATTATTTTATGTTTATAAAGTGCATCAGATCTTGAGTGGATAATCTAACAATAAAGCAATTTAGTACGTGTGATTATGAAAGTAAAATAATATTTTGATTTCAAAAGAAGAGATCATCACTATAGTAAAACATTATTAAGATTAAGTAATTATTTTTTTACGTTAAAACATTTAATTGATGCTGCTCTTGTTTGGGAAGAAATATATATATATAAAACAATTTGGTAATATTTATTTTGTTTGTATGAATAAATTGATTTTTGTGTTTTTTAGCCCTTCCTCCCCCTCCTTCAGATGTTCGAATATCGGATGTCACTGCTACTTCTGTGAGGTTATCCTGGTCCTATAATACTGGTACTGAAAATGTTCGGTACTATGTTGTCCAGTATAAACCAAAAAAAACAAACCAAGATTACAGTGAAATTAGTGGCATTAATTCTAAGTTTTATACCATTCAGGACTTGTCTCCCTACACAGAATACGAGTTCTTTGTTATTGCAGCAAATGACATAGGTCGTAGCTCTCCTAGTACTCCTGCAATAGCAACCACAGGAGAAACAGGTGTGTAAAACACTGAACTAACCATGATTTAGTTCTGTTTTAGTTATTTCTCTGCTAAAATCTCTTCTTACTTCTTGAATTGATACAACTATCTTATTATATATTAAGAATGTGAAACATTTTTAAAACAGTTAATATATTAATACATTAAAGGCAGTATTCACTACTTTTAGAAATGCTTTCAAGTGACCTCTGAAAAACGTTTGTAAACAGGTTAACATTATATCGAAGTTCCTTAACTTTTCAACACAGGTTAAATAAAAACATTTGATACTTTGTTAGGATGGTCACTTTTCTTATCCTTTGTAAACAATACATTTTCACAGTTCACCTTAGATGTTTAACTCTACCACTGCCATGTTTATTGATATAGAACTTTTTCAGTGGTCGGTTTATTTTTTAGATGCACAATAAAAAAACACAAAGACTAATGTTATAATATTTCATAACTTATCTGGAAGTTGAAACTGGTATTTGAGAAGTCTGAAAGGTGGAACACCTTATATTAATGTGGTCCAAGATTTCAAACTCCTGAAAGGTGGAATACCCTTTATTAACAGTGGTGTGAGATTTCAAACTCCTGAAGGGTGGAACACCCTGTATTAACTGTGGTGCAAGATTTAAAACTCCCTTAGTGGTATTCTAGTGGCAGTGAAAGAGCTAAACATCCCAAGCTGAAATAAGCATCATCATCTTTTGTTCTTTGTAACTTGTGACTCCTAGTAAAATGTGGAGCACAGTGATTCTGTTTTAATTTTGTTGGAAATCGAACTCCATGAAGGTTAAGTGGATTTTAAACAAGTGTAATAAGACAGAAACTTTAACAATATTATTATAAACTGATATTTTGAAATAAGACGATGTCACCCAGTTCTTTAAAACAGAGGCCTCTATTTAACATGGCTCATTACACCTGCATTGCAGATCTTCAAAATGTTTTTGGAAAATGTAATTCTTTTTGGAGGTATTTCGGTAAATATAGGCTGAGTGTACTTCTGTTGCAGCTAGGTTTGATATTCAATAATAAATGAAAGATAAAATTATAATTTATTGTTCTAGAAATATGAACAATTGACCTTACTCTAAAGAAGATTATGTTCACTATCATAGAGCTAGTTCCGACAATCCTTACTATTTTTGGAAACTATGACATTAAAGCTATAATACAACTTACAGAAACCATAATATCTAGTTTGCAAGTGATTTTAACATGGTGAAATATAAACTATATTTGCATGAGAAGAAAGATTACCAATTTTATTCAGATATTCCAAATCATTCTCACTTATTAATACACAAGCTGAGGTACTCGTCCTATATCAGAGTTATCAACTTAAAAAAAAAATGTGGGGGTGGATGCTATGATGAATAACACAAAAATCCTACCTTTCATACAATTTATCTATAACATAACATATTATTACAGTATCCATTATCACCTCACCAAAAGTTTTTTATTGGCTTTAAAAAACTCTATGTATGTACTTAAAACAGTATATGACGTGCGATGGTGAGGGTGCCTTTGTAGGAAGAAGTAGCAGCCAAATTAGTGACAGTAGGTGTTCTTTCCGTTACCCACTTTAAACACCCAGCTCTTAGTGTCCTTTCACAGTGTTTCATGTGAATAATTAATTGGTGGTCATTGGCTGCAGAAGTGTCTTACGGGCCGAAGTTGAAAGGTCCTGGGTCAAAGTAGGAAGTGGGTATAACTCAAGAAATGGCCCTTCATATCAGCCTTATGGTGGCTGTTGGAGTAGAAAATTCAGCTGAGTTTATGTATTATTTCAATAGGGGCAGTCATTTATTTTCATTGCATTCCTCCATAGACAGTGCTAGTGCACACATTGAGAAATATAAGATGTTTGTGTGCCCTCCCTCTACACTGTGTGTATGTTATGTTATAGAAAATTTACTAGTTTTTTTTTGTTTTGGCATAAGGAACTTTTTATTGTCATCTTTGAATGTAGTTAACGTTAACT